TGAAGGGCCGGGTGACCATCCTGCACCAGCCCCGGGGGCTGGCCAGCCGGCGGCCGCTGAGCGCCGGGACCCCCACTGCTGAGGGTGAGCCCCCCCACCTGCCCCCCGGCACCTCCGGGGGTGCTGGAGGGCAGGGAGGGAGGAGAAGTGCGTGGTTGGGGAGCGTCTGTCGCACCCCAAGATCCCACCCCTGGTGCTTGTGCCCTAATCTTGCATCCCCCGGTGAATGGACCTCCCTGGATGCACCCCAAGATCCCAGACTGAATGGACTCACCCCAGTTCCCTGTCCCTGGAGAGTCAGTCTCTCTAGATGCACCCCAAGATCCCAGACTGAATGGACTCACCCCAGTTCCCTGTCCCTGGAGAGTCAGTCTCTCTAGATGCACCCCAAGATCCCAGACTGAATGGACTCACCCCAGTTCCCTGTCCCTGGGGAATCACTCCCCCTGGACGCACCCCAAAACTTCATCCCAAATGAACTCACCCCGATTCCCTACCCCTGGTGAATGCAACCCCCTGGATGCACCCCAAAATCCCACCCCAAATGAATGCACCCCAATTCCCTATCCCTACTGAATCACCCCCCTGGATGCACCCCAAGATCCCACCCCAAATGAATGCACCCCAATTCCCTATCCCTGCTGAATCACCCCCCTGAGTGCTCCCCAAAATGCCATCCCCTGTGTGTGTACCCCAGTTCCTACATCCCTGGTGAATGGTCCCCCCCTGAGTGCACCCCAACATCCCAGCCCAAAGGAACATACCCCAATTCCCAATGCCTGGTGAATTGCCCCCCTGGATGCACCCCAAAACTACATGCACATTGCACGCACCCCAATCCTGCATCCCTGGTGACTGCAACCCCCTGAGTGCACCCCAAAATCCCTTCCCTGGTGAATCCACCACCCTGGATGCACCCCAAAATTACACATCCAGTGTCTGCACCCAGGTTCCCTATCCCTGGTGTCTGCACCCCCCCTGGATGCACCCCAAGATCCTATCCCTGGTGACTGCACCCCAAAACTTCCTCCCTGGGGGTGGCACTTTTCTGGATGGACCCCAAAACTTCATCCCCAGTGCATGCACCCCAATACACCTTCCCCAATGACTGCATCCCCATCAAGGCACCCCAATAATTAATCCCAGGTGGTTGCACCCTTGGGAACGCACCCCAAAACTCCATGCCGGCTGATTGCACCCCAATACCCCATCCCTGCTGGTTGCACCCCCACGAGTGCATCCCGATAACTCATCCCTGTTGCAAGCACCCCCGGGAATGCACCCCAACACCTCCTCCCAGGCGCCTGCACCCCAATATACCACCTCTGGAGGCTGCACCCCCCCATCAGCGCACCCCAATCCTCCCTCCACCACCACCCAGTGCAGCCCAGTGGGTGCCGGGCTTTGTCCCAGCGGCCACATCCCCATCCCTGGGGACACCCCCCCTTGCCCCAGCCTCAGCTTCCCCCCCTCCGTCCA